AGAGAAAAATATCCAGTAGAAGTTAGAAACATACCAAGTCAATGAGCAGTTAATAAAGTTGACAAATCATAACATTAAACATATTCCTATGGTTATGTGTCAAACCTTTATAATTATAACTTCATTGCTAAAGTATCTACTGAACACTTACAGTAAGTCATTACCTAATATTTAGTAAATAAAAAATTATGCTGAATTGAGGAAACCTTTTCTATGCAGAGGGTAAAAACTTACTGTTGTTGCTGTTTGCTGTTGCAGCCTTTTTTTCTGTTATAGTTTGAATGTTCAGGGTGTTCCTGGCCTGTTAAAATAATCAGGATGTGACAACAGCCTCATCATTTTTCCAACGAACAAGCATTGCTGCATTTTCTGCCCACAGAATGATTCCAGCCTTGTCAAAGAAATGCAGACTTCCTTTCAGTTTATCTCGATGCCCAGAAAGACTCATACACCAGACTCTATGTACTCAATGAGCCTCAAAATAGTTTTTCAGAAAAACTACATGTTCCATTCTTTTATTAATACAGCCAATACAGTAAAAGCACTAAACCACATGTTGTGGTCACTAATAGTGATTAATCAGCAAAAGTGAGGCAACATTTCTAGCAGTATAACTCATCCCCTGGGTGTTGGCTTTAAACCACTCCCAGAACAGAAACCAGAACAGCACATCATCTTCTTACAGCAACTTTAACTTCAGAGCATTGAGTTTATTCAAACTGACGGTTACTTTCTCTTCAAACATGTTGAATTAAAATTAAGCAGTGTTTTACCACACAGTGGCAGTTAAGCGCCTTGAGTTGCAAGACCTGCTGGCTCTGAATCAAATACAGACTGAGGCCTTATTGGGGAGATAAGGGTTTATATAAATAAAGGAAACATCATGTTCTTATCTTAACAGACATATTTCCTTAAAGGTATAGTGGAGGATGTTCTTTTGCCGTGTGGATCATCAAAATAAGTGGTCCTCCGAATTGTCAATCAATCTGGTGATATGCACATTTAAGGCCATACTACGTGCACGTCCCAATTTCCACTTACCGGTGACGAATCTGACATAGTGGAAAAATTGAATTTTTAGAAAGTAAGCTAATAGCGATGCAAACAGCAACTTGTAAACTGAGCGAGGAGAAATAGGCTCGTGCACGCTCTCACAGATTTTTATTAGGCGTTCCCTCTCAGGAAGCGGGTGCAGGGTTGTGCATGTGCATTGTTTTTTAAAAGTTGAGAGGGAGGGTCTTTTTAATAATTCGCAAAAATCCTCCTCTATACCTTTAATGCTTTAGTTTATAACCAATTATATGTAAATATCACTTATTTGCTGTAAGTCAAATGTTTAGTAAATTAATGTTGAGCCCAAAATTAATGTGCATTTTGGTATGATGACAGTTAGTGGCATTAAGTAAATAGCAATTTTTTTATTTTATTTAACCTTTATTTTACCAGGAAGTCCCTTGAGATAAAATCTCTTTTTCAAGGGAGACCTGCAATAAAAAAAAAAAAAAAAAAACCTTTGTCTGAACTAAAGCGCCAAAGGCAGCTACAGCGTTTTGCTGCACAGGCTGTGAGCCTGTTCACAATGAGAAAAGAGTGTGTTAGAGTGTGGAATTAATTATTTATTCACCATTATTCAATCAATATCTAAATGGATCATTTATTTCAGTATTGAATTATAGCTCCATATACAGATCATTTTTATTTTCAAATATTTAAAAAACAAAGAGAAAATTCGAAAGGAAAAAAATGTCATGACTGAACTGATATGTTAGAGGTGGAAAACGTTATTTAGCATTAGCTTTTATAAAACAGAGTTCGTCAGATTTATGTAGGTTATCATCTAAAATCCACCAGGTCTACTGCTGCATACCTCTACTTTCATGGACCAGGTAAAGTTTAAATCTTGACCACTAGATGATGAAAAAACACTTCTAATAGGATCCTTATTGTGGGGGGGTATATGCATCAGCCAATGTCTTTGACATACGCACACCAACTCAGCAGCATTTGAAACAGAACTGGCCTTATAAGGCGACTTCATGGTAAGACACCTAGACTGGTTTGCATAGATATACAGTTATTCATCATTTCCGTTAAATTAAAAGGGATTGTTTTTTTTTTTACTTTTGATGACTCCTTTGGACAAACAACTTTAAAAATAATAATATGTACAAACTTCCATTAGTTTATTGCTAAAATCGATTAAAGAGACACCGCACACATTTGGAAGCTTGTTTTCTTGTGGCTGGATACTAGACCGCTCTCCTTTATCATAATAGAAAAAGGCTAATTAAAATAAAAGGTTTTCTGGTCTTCAAGGAGTCTATATCTTTACCATGCATTTCAACTCAAATTAATTTAAAAGTCAAAGCTTAATGTTAGCCTGCTTTTTAAATTTGAAGGCAGATTTTACATGTGACAGGATCTATGATAGAAGTCTAACACAGGTAGGTGTTCCAGCTGGGCTACGAATACAAATACATATCAAAACTTTGGAAGGGATAAATGGTAGCAGAAAAAAATACTTAATTTTAGAATCAGGTTAAGTTATCTGCTGCAGTCGCTGAGACAGCAGCTGACTGGAGCTGAATAGGTCTCTGGGAGGGAATCAGTCGATAACAAATGTGTGAGATGAAAACATTTTTCAGTTAAATACATCATAATTAACTCCCTTTTTATTAATAAATATTTATCTATATTAATGTATTACTTTTCAGGAAATAATACCATATATGTCATTGGATGCATGTATCATATTATCAGTTCTATAATTGTAAGAATGAAACAGGGGAAACCTTTTTTGACTGTTTTCCATTGGAATGATTCATTAAAAAATTAGGAAATTATAAGAAAAAGATCTGTAGAGCTGAAAAACAAAAACTTAATTTCTATCACTTTTTACAATTAAGTCAACTACTAAAATTTAGATCCATTACATTTGAACATTAAAGAAGCTTCTAACTTTGATTCTTTAAGACAGATGAAAGGAATTCATTTTAGCTCTGACATTAGGAGCATTGCATTCATTTTAAAGAAAAAGACAACTAAACTGAATAGTTTACATTTTTATGTTGATGATATATATATTTATGTGCATATTAAATTTAAAAATGACTTCTCTCTTGCACAACTACTGCCTTAGGACGTTAAAGCCTGGTTTGCTCTGAAGTTATATCTTAACGACGAAAATATTGAAGTGATTGAGTTTTGTCCCAGTAACCTGATGTTGACTTGAGCCTTTTCACAGTTTGTTTTTTTTATTCTCAAATTTGGGTTTTAGGATGGACAGTGATTTTAAATTGGATTGGTAAACTAGAAAAGTAGCTTTTATCAAATCAGACAGTTGGCCAAGGTCAGACATTTTCTTGCACAGCAGGACTTTGAAACCGCAGTCCATGACTTTGTTACATTCACAGCAGCCTTTTACATTTCCATTTTGTATGTCTGCTTCTGTCTCCTTGAACCCCAGTCAGCCTCAGCAGATGGCCGCTTACACTGAGCCTGGTTCTGCTGGAGGTTTCTTCCTGTTAAAAGGGAGTTTTTCCTCTCCACTGTCACTACAAGGATGCTTAGTGTGAGGGATTGCCTTCGAGTCAATGAGTCGATGCAATCAACGGGTTTTCCCTAGATAGAAAACTGAATAGATTTGATCTGGTGAACTGTAATGTGCCTTAAGATGGCATGTGTTGTGAATCAGCGCTATAGAAATAAACTTAATAGAATTTAATTACATCTCGACTGGACTGTAACACACTTTTTGGGTTGAGCCAGTCTCCATCGTACCTCTCCGCCTTTTGACTGAGAGACAGAGCTCCCATCCTGGTCGACCTCCATTGGCAACCTGTGCATTTTAGTTAATTTCAAGATTATTTTCATTGTTTTCAAATGGATTGCCCCCTCCCTACCTCTCTGAGCTTCATCCCTCCTATGCACCCACTACTCGGTGCCTCAGATCAGCTGACCTGCTGCTCCTGAAGGTACTGAGGTCCAAATGGAAGCTCAGAGGAGACAAAGCCCTTTCAGTTGCTGCTCCAAAATTGTGGAATGAGCCCCACCTCCTCACTAGACAATCCTCTTCTCTGTCTATTTTTAAAACCTATTTTTATTCTTTGGCTTTTAACACAGCATGGGACTCTCTGTGTTTTTGCGTTGGTGGTTTGTTTTACTGTTTTTTGTTTTGTTTTTATATTTATATTTAATTAATCTATGTTACTGTATTTGTTTTATTCCTTTAAGCTTCTATGTGGCTTTTATGCTGTTTTAATTTGACCTGATATGTACAGCAATCCATGTCAGCTGTGGCTGTTTTAAGTCTAAGTCTAAGTCTTAGTCTATGTTTAAAGGGCTTTATAAATAAAGTTGAGTTCAGTTGAGTTTAGTTTACATTAGCTGACCTATTGTGGTGTTAGGAAGTCTGAATTCCTTGAAATAAGTGAAAAACCTCCTTGAAGGTGAAGACTGGAATTCAGGGAGGCTCTTAAACAATTAAAATGTCTCTGACCTCCTGCTGGTGGCCCTGCTCTGGTGGAAATTATAAACACATGGCTGTGAAACGCACACACACACACTGAGGTTGGTAAACCTTTGCAGCTGTCCTTCTGACCAAACTGGCCTGTTGAAGGGCGGAAAACAATCTGAGTCCACAGACTAAGTAAAAAGGTGGTTTACAGTCACCATATTTTTAAACATCCTTATTAATTAGCATTTCTAATCACAGGTCATTGCATATTTGATCTATTTATATGAACTTGCTTCATCCTGAGTGCCAGAGGAGTTGCTATGAAGTCTTTGTTTATAAAAATAGACGTCATTCAGCCTTTAGAGAACTGTTAACTTTATCAGCCTCACTTCTGTTTGTGTTTTTTAATAATGCTTCTACTCTTCTCTGAGATTAAGGTTTTTTCTCAGAGCGCGTCATGTGATTGCAGCACCATGGACAGAAACACAGGATGACTTTTTATTATAAAAATGTATTTTTTAATAAAGAAAAACTAGAGACTTGCCTTCTTTAGCTCGTTTCTTTCGCGCTAAGGTTCCTCCTAATTTCCCCAGGAAGGATTCGTCCTTTTTCATCTTTGCAGGCTGCAGGCTGGCAGATGCGCTCGGAGTCAGAGACATGCTTTTCTCTCCTTTTCTCTCCCTGACTGACTGCCACCCTGTCCGGTCTCTGTTGTTCACTCCTCCCAGGCCTGCATTAGGATGATCCAATCAAAACACGCAGTTCAGTCATCAGGCTTCATTCAGGAGTCAGCGGTGGTTTGGCTTTTACGCAGAATGAATCACAGGAGAGGAAAAAATCTCTATTAGTTGCAGCGAAACCACAGCGCCACCCACAGGTCTGCAGATGTCGTTAATGGAAAGGCCTCAGCTATAATTAGTCTATCTCTCCCTTTTTTTTTCTTTTTTTTTTAGACTTAAGAACAAGGGCTGCAGACTCACTTATCTACAGAGATGGCAAAAGTACTCACTTTCCGTACTTGAGTAAAAGTACAGATACTTGTGTTAAAAAATACTCTGGTAAAAGTGGAAGTACT